AGAATGGTCTATGCATATATGCTAATGCTAATATATCCACATATCACGTATGCATCCACTAATTCATTTTCCAATTGGTAAAAAGTCTGCTACATCTCTATTCACATTAGAATTGCTAGTTAGGTGTGATGTATTTTCTATTATTGATGAGAAAATTGAGGCTTGAAATGATCAAGAAGCTGGGATTTTAGTCTAGGTCTCTCTGACCCCGATAAGCTTTTTCTTTTGTCCCACCAGCCTCTGGATGTGTTTGTGTGTGTGCACAGGCATGCTTCTATGTACTTGACTCCTTTCTGTCTTTCCAGCCTAATTCTGAATATTCCCCCTTCTATTTGTGCTGCGTCTCTGTGATGACTTGTCAAAGCTTTGCACGTGCTGTCTCCCACAGCTAGGAGCACTCCTTTACCCACACCACATGTGATGTGACTCACCCTGAGACACACAGCTCATGACCACTCCTCTGCAACACTTGCCTGGACCAACACCCACTCCACTGAACACAGCTACTTTTCCTTTGTTTGTACCTTGTATATATCTCTATGAGAGCATTTTAAATTTTTATTGGACTTATTTTTTACAGATAGGCCTTTCTTAAGTTCACAGAGACTATGTCTTAGTTACACTTATTTACATCATGCTAGGCAGTGTGTGTGGCCCATCTTAGATAATTTGCTGAAGGTGGCTGGAAGGATATTTTTCACTAATGATGTTTTAATGAAGGAAAATGAATTCTGATCGAGCAAATGATCGAACAAATACAAAGAGAATCGCAGTCCCTGGAGATATAACTGATCTGTCAATTCCTGATTATCTTAGGAACCTGTGCAAACTTTGTAAACCAGAGGGTTTTATCAGCCGCCTACTGTCTTCCTCCCCTTAAGCCATCAACGTGTATCAATTCATGAACATTGCATTTCTAGGGGTCAGATAATAAATCCCATTTCAAAGATAAGTAAAGCGAGTCCTAGAGAAAGCATGGCGCTCTCGTGACCCAGTGAGTCACCTGGCCAGCCAAGACAGAGCCCTAGGCTTGTGAATCATTACTGCGGAACCTTAGCTCACTGATCTTGTAAATCAAACTCAAGGACGGATGTCTCCAAAATGTTCACTTTCTCTTAAACATTTTGTTTCCCAAGGCTTCTGCCAACACATTGAATGTGATAGTCACTTTTAGAGAAAATCGTGATATCATTAATAATCTTTCCCGTATCAACACAAACTATCTGAAGACTCCAGTCGTAGTCGCTATGCCAATAACTTCATATATGATCATGTCTGAAAGGTATAAAGGGAGAAAATACAAAGAAGATACAATAAAAGCAATAAAAATATTTATTTAATGCCTAATAGGTGCCAAAGACTTTCCTAGGCACTGAAGACGGTGGTGGGTGCCAGTTCTGGTGAGACTTGCCTTCTGTGTTAACATCCTTGTTTCAACAATCACCATGAACACTTACTGAGGTTCTTCTATGAGACAGGCATCCCTTTTAGCACTTTACACCTCCAATACTGTGAGTGGGCGCTCTAGCCCCCTCGTGCTGATGATGAAACTGAGCACAAATAATTTAATTAACTTTCATAAGGGATAGCCAGTCTGAATCCAGAGCCCACGCTGCTAATTCATCTCCATAATGTTTCTCCTATTTGCTGTTTCCTTTCTGTTCTTAGCACTGCTTTCCTATTTAGAGAAAGCTTTCTAGATTTTGAAGTGGCCTTGTAGCTTTTCTCGTCTCCAGTCCCCTCCATTCTCACACTACTGCAGCTGGAATGGTTTTCCAAAAAAGACAATGCCTGACTTCAGATAACCTTTAAAAGCTCCCATTCCCTGTCAGATTCCCAATCTGAATTCCCAAGCATGGTATTCCTGGCCCTTAATGACCTGTGCAAATTCATGTTCATATTCTCAGTCTTTATTCCATAATTACTCCTATGACTCTTTCCAGTCACAGCCATGGGGGAGGCAGGGCCTTTGTGCTCTGTGCTTTCCCTTAGACTGGACTGTTCCTTCTCTTCTTAGCTTGACTGCCCTGTGCTTCTTCCACAGAATAGCCTGAAACACTTTTCCCAAGAAAAGCTTTTAACTTTGCTCCTCCTGTAATCCAGCCTCACGACTCCATTCGCTGTGAGCTCCCAGTAGTTTCTTTATGTCCCCATGGCAATATTTATATCCTAATAACTATTTGGTAGTGGTTTATGTGTTTTCTCCTCCATGTAAATTTGTGAACTTAAAAGCAGAGACTGTATAACTCAATCTTGTAATCCTGCAGTGCTTAGCACCATGCCTGGAGCCTAATAAGAAATCCATAAATATCAGTTGAATTGGATTGGTTTTTCTAATATCAGAGAGTGTATGTCATCTGTGAGATGATGGATACGGTGTGATGTGTGTGAAGAGCATTAGACCTGGAAGCATAAAATCTGGGAACCACTCCTTGCTCTGCCACTAGCTTCCTCTGTGTCACTGGGCAAATTCCTTCTCCTTTCTGGGCCTCATTACCCCATCTAAAATGAGAGGGTAGTACAGATAATATAAATTGTATTATATTACAGTTTAACATCTTCAACAATCTTTCTCATAATTTTTATATATTTAATAAATAGTTGTTGAGCACTTTTTCTCTTCCAGACACTCTACTTGCCTTCAGGGATGTGGAAACAAAGACAAACTCTGGAATTGAGAGGCTCACATGAGCTTTTCATATCAACATTGCAATCTAAGTGGGGCAATTATTAACCACACATATTTTTTCAAAAGAGAAACTGAAGTCCAGAGACCTTCAAATTTTATGATTATTAGATATTTTTAAGATTCTGGGTCATAGCAGTTGAGTGGATACAAACAATTATTTATAATTTGCCCCATAGTGGAAAACAAATTTCTTCAAAGATGTTGCACTTAGACTTATAGAAAAACTCAATTACTGCATGGAATTTGGCAGGTAATCTAATTTACCTCATTGACCACCTTTTAAAAAAATGTTGTCAAGTCCATGCTGTTTCATGTTTTCATGCTTATATAAAGATACAACAGAGAAAAGGAGCAAAATCTCTGCTAACAACACTAAATTGAAACGATGGATGTCAAATCTGATTTTCTCATAGAAAGTATGTTATCATGTGGTTATATTCCTTACCAAAAGTGTGAAGTCCAACATTTTGTAGGCATGACCATAAACATCATGTTTAATTTTGTGCAGATAATAAAACTATATTCTTTTTTAAAGTATAAAGCTTTCTAAATCCGTTTGCTCCGTTAAATTTAATAAATATCCCAAGCAATACAAGTATATAAGAATCTCTGATATTCACTGCGGGTGAGAGAAATGTGAATAAGATGTTGTTCTTCCACTGGGAGTTTTGTTCTTTTATTGACAATAAAGAAGTGTATGAATATGCTGAAAGTCATAAAATGTTAAGTCTCTTGAAGAAGAAAGAACATGAATTAACATTATTGATCATTTGCTGTATTCCAGGGACTATAATAAGATCTTTCTATTATTAGAAATTAGTATTATTGCCCCTACAAGGTGAGTTTTAGTATTAGAGTAGGGTAAACTTTTTTAAAATTAAGGAATAAAGCTTTAATTATCTGAATCCAAATTCTAATATAATCTGATAACGGTAAATCATATTAGTTTCATGTTTGGGAGTTCACACACTTACACACATACACATCACACATACAAGTAGGATGAATGGAAAGAGATCAAAGAAGGCTTCTTGTGGGAAAAGATATGTACACTGAGCTTTGTTTAGGATGGGTAGAATTCTGGTGAATCCATAATAGAGGGGACATTTCTGTGGGAAGGAAGGACCAGAGCAAAAGCAAAGACAGAAGGAATCATAGTATATGCTCATGTAAAGACAAGAATTTCTGTTGGGTTGGAAGGTGAGGCTGGTCCTGATTTCATGCTTATTCCATGTTAGGTGCTGGGGCGACAGTGATGAAGATGGTCAGGATGGCCTCTACTTTGTAGAAGCATATATGATAACATGAATGCTTCATCTATTTGTACTTCTTTAACAAAATACCTGAGAGTTTCATTTATAAAAAACAGACATTTATTTCTCACAGTTCTGGAGGCTGGGGTGCAACATCCAGATGCAGCAGGTTTAGTGCCTGATGTCATCCCTTCCAAGACAGCACCTGTGGCTGTATCATCCCGAAGGAAGGAATGCTGTGTCTTCCCGTGGCAGGAGGGACAGAAGGGGCAAAAAAGAGTCACAGCTATTTCCCTCCAGCCCTTTGACAAGGAACTAACCTACTCATGAGGGTAGAGCTGTCATGACTTAATCACTTCCCAAAAGGCCCCCTTTCCTGACACCAGCACAGTGGGAATTAAGCTTCGACACATGAATTTTGGAGGAGACACATGCAAACCACAGCAATAGAGACATAGTAGGTGGCCTGGGAGTAGAGCGAAGGGAATGGCTGATGCTATCGGGTTGGCTGAGAGAAGACTTTGCAGAGGACATAACCCTTGCTGTGAGTTTTGAAAGATGATAAAGACTGTGTCAGGTGAGCAAGGAGGTGGTAAGGTGGATGGGATGGGAAAAGGAATGCTGATCCTGGCAGAGGGGATGGCAGGATCAAATCCAGAGCTCTTACTGAGTGTGGATGTTCAGGAAACTACTCTTGCCCTTTAGGGCATGAAAGCTGTGTGCATGCAAAGAGTTAGAAGGTGAGAGCTTGAGATAGACCAGAGTAGGCACAGGAAATAGCAGACGTCACGCTTATGAGTGTGGCCTGACTCCCTCACCCATGCCTCAATAAATAAGCTGGACTTAACTTTCCTGGCAAAAATAAGGGTATCATTAATGGCTTTTTATTAGAAAGTGTGAGAGTCAGAGTTGTACTTTGGGAAGATTAATCTAGCAGAGGTGTTTGGGCAAGAGATGGAAGGGAGAGAGATTAACTAATTGGTGGTTCTGCTAGTTTGAGTGAGAAGCAATAAAATACCAAACTAGGATGCAGGTGGTGGAGATGAAAAGGGTGGTACGAAATAGCAAAGTTAAAATCAACAGATCAGCGGGCCTGAGAGACAGATTTTATGTCAGGGCAAGGAAGACAGAGCTGGTAATATTGTGAAGGCAATTATAGATGCAAGATGAGATTTTTGGATAAATAGTCAAGGCTGGAAACAGATTTAGGCATCATTCCCACAGAGGTGATAATTGGACAGTGGGAGGTGATGAGAACACCAAGGAAAAGAATGTATAAAAAGAAAAGAAAGGACAAGAGAAAGGTTGGAGACAAAACTCTAGAGAATGCCTTCACTCAGGAGGCAGACAAGGCAGAGGAGCCCGCAAGGGGCAGAGGCCAGGCAGCCAGGGCCGGGGGAGGCAGGAAGGTCAAAATCTGGAGGTCCAGGAAGGCGGATTTCACAGAGAGGAGCAGCTGATGGCTGGGAGCAAGTGCTGCAGAAACAAGTAAGTTGGCTTGAGATTCAGCCAGTTTATTTGATAATTAATAAGTTAGTGATGGCTGGGCGCAGTGGCTCACACCTGTAATCCCGGCACCTTGGGAGGCTGAGGCGGGCAGATTGCTTAAGGTCGGGAGTTCGAGACCAGCTTCACCAACATGGGGAAATCCTGCCCCTACTTAAAAATACAAAAATTTTCTGGGTGTGGTGGCGCACACCTGTAGTCCCAGCTACTTGAGAGGCTGAGGCGGGAGAATTGCTTGAACCCGGGAGGTGGAGCTTGCAGTGAGCTGAGATCACACCACTGCACTCCAGCCTGGTGACAGAGTGAGACTCTATTTAAAAAAAAAAAAACAAAAAACAAAAAACAAAAAAACCACCCCCAAAATATGTCAGTGATAAACTTCAAGAGAGGAGTTTTCTGGGAAGGAAACAGGTGGCAAAAGATGAAGAAGCATGCAGATGCCAGGAAACTCTGTGTATAATGTCCCCTCTCAATTATGTTTGTCAGTGAAAGGAATAAAACATCCCACAAACTGAATGAAGACGACCTCCTGCCATAGGGGGAAAATCTCATTCAAATGTCTGTATTTGCTACCTCGCAGCTCTGTGAAGTGTCTGGAAATGGAGGGTGCCAGGTAAACAACATGCTAGAATTATTTGCTGATGTCTATAGTCCTTTCAGTCCTCAACAATTTGGAGCTGGGCTGCATCTGTCTGCTCACAAGCACATCCACAACCCATCAGGCTCTCTCCTGAGTAACAGGCACCCTTTCGCAATTCTCAACAGCAGCAAAGGCTGTTGCACAGCATAATGGATAAAGCTCAATCAATAATCCTAGGCAATTGTATAAAGTGGGGGAAAATAACACTGAGTCTGTGTTTCTCGCTTTCTTTTCACAGTTTCTCAGGCTATGACTATTTATTAGCCATACGGAGTGCAGTGAGGAGGGTGAGCACAGCACTCTGTTTGCACGAGAAAGGAGCCACAGCCTTCTGCACTCCCCACACATACCGGCCATTGATCAGCAGACAAGGGCAGCGCTGCTGATGGCACAGGGAGAGAGCTTGGCAACACCCTCGCGGCCCTCACCCCCCGCCCATCACTTTCCCGGCGATGCTTCTGTCCCAGCTAGGCTACTGTGGGGACAACCAGGCCTCCAGGCTCCCACAGAGGGTGCTGCGCATGGGGATGAGTGGCATGTGCCCTCCTACCTGAAGGCATCCCAAGCCTGGTGGGTGCAGAGTTGGAGGCGATAGCAGGGAATTATGAATTCTGAGGGAGAGTCAATGGCAGCAGATAAAACCCCAAGTAGCTGAAATGCTGTTTTCATGCAAATGGGCCTAAGTAAAATGAAAAGAAGCAGGACAACGCAGGAGGAAAGGAAACAAGAAAGGAATCCAAGAGAAAAGCTGAATTAATTCTAAATGGGAGAATTTTCTGAGAGGCATTAGCCACTCTTGAAGAAAATGAATAGGTTCTCTCCCCACATGTATCAAATGTCTATGATTCTCTAATTTAGGAGCCTTTGATTGTCAATTGAAAGATGGAAAACTTCAGGTGTATTTCAGGGAAAGAGGCTCTCTCTTACCTATGTATTGTGATGCTCAGAATTAGTTTTTTTGGATTTTAATTTTTTTTATTATACTGCACTTAAAAAAGTTCCACAAGGCGTGTCTCCCTGAAATACCCTCTATTAGAATGAATTCAGGGGAGGGTAAGATGAGGAGAAAATTCCTCGAGGGGTCAGAGGTGACCAGGCCTGTGTGAGCCACACAGGGCTGGGGTCATGGGTGCTGCTTCAGGAAAGATGTGCCCAGCTCACATTCTGACCAAGAAGATCGAGAGGAAGGTTCAAGGCGTCAGAACGTGTTACAGGAAGAGCCCGGGTTTGTGCAAGGTGGCCTGGTTCCAGTGCCACCATTAATTGAAAAGGTCATCTAGCTGTGCTTTCCTCATTTACAGTATTGCATTAGGAATGGTTTACCTCCCTCCTGTAGCAAGAGGATGACATGGGATACAAACACAAAAATGTGCAAGAAAAAAAGGGGTCTACATAGCAAGATTTAAACAAAAGGTGCTAATGTGCTTGAAAGAGGAAGCGAATGTCCCTTGGTAAGGCCATTTTAAAAAGTGAAATGACCCTGTGCTATGGCAAAACTGCCATAGGCTCTGTCTCCCAGCTGAGCGGAACACAAGCTCTGAGAGGACACTGAGGCTTCCGTGCAGGAAATACAACGTTCCAAGGTAACAATAGGAGTGAATGAGGAGAAGGGGTGGGCCCCGGGACTGGCTACCAGCTTTCTCCCTGGCTCAGGGAGGACCTAGACATCTCAACTGGGCTGCTGGCCACCCAGTATGGCAACTCCAAACACACAATTGATTTAAGTAAGCTGCCCTACACTTCAGAAGGACAAATAACATTCCACCCATATCTGCTGTGTTCTCATTTAAAATTTGAAACTCAGAAAAAAAACATTCCTCTGCTCTTTCTCCTTGACTTGGTAAAAGTAGTTCACGTGGGTCACAGCAGGTTTGATTTGATGCAGAGGTGACTCATTGGGTGTTGTGTAAAAGTGCTAATCTTCCCCCAACCACTCCTGAATTCTTAAATTCCTCTGACACATTAATTCTAACCCCAGCCCCAAATGCCCCAACATCTCTGAGAGTCCCAGAACAGAAATTATAGCAATTTCCTATAACCAGAATCAAATTCCAAGGTTGGAGAGCACGGACCACGTCCTACTATTAATTCAAACATCTATGTGAAAGATTATGGTGGGCAGCTGTGATTCCATTAAAGGGGGCAATTTCAACTCCATTTCCTTGATAAACAGACACAAGCTCACCCCTAAATTGGGCTTGATAGATTTGATTAGGGTAGAGTTTTTGGAGGTTGTGATGTCTGCAGGAAAATTGCTGTTTGATGTGCAAGGCCAAATTGCACTTGAAATCTCCTTGCAACCATAGAGCGGGGGAGAAGGAAGAGGATGGAACACCTAGCCAATTGCTATCATCCAAGCAGCAGGGGAGTCAAGCTGTTGTATTCAAAATATCTGTTAGGTATGCAGCCAGTGTGTGCTGCAGAAAGCATGCCAGGCTCAGGGGAACCAATGATTAAAAGCAGCAAAACCAAGTGTTATTTAAACAAAGCGAAATGTACTCATGCAATTTCTTTAGCCTATTTCTTTTGCAGGGAGAAGAAAAGATATGTTGCTTCCTTTGGAGACACCTGTGGTTCTATGTTTCACAATTCCCATGGAGAGCCTTGGGGTCAGGCAGGGATAGAAGGTGAAGCTCACTGCTCTAAAGCACAGTCTCCTGTCACAAACACAGAATGATGGGCAAAATGGAAGTAAAACTGTTTAGCCTGCTTGGTTTGTTTTCAGTAAAATGGGAAACTCCACTTGTTTAGGTCAGTTCTACCAGATGAGACAATGGGGATTGTAATTACTTCTTTAAACCCTGTTCTCGGATTCCAAAAGTCATAAACCCTTCGTGTTGGAAAATGTGTTTGCTTTGTAAGTACCTGCACTTTAGAGAGAGCTTCAATTCCTTCAGCATCACCCATTCCACTGGTTTGGCACTATGTGCGGGGGATCTGAGGTTGACTGAGGATCTAGAGTGTGCTGAGAACCACACCAGGTGCTTTATGTCCATCATCTTATCACATCCTCCAATAATTTTAGGGATGGCTACTCTTTCCCCATTTTCAAATAAAGGCAAGGAGTTTCATCAAAGTTAGAAAAATTGGGTAAGTTCTTGTATGTGGGGAGAGATGGACTAGGATGCAAACTAAAATCATCCTGACACCCAAGTCCAGATGCCTTCCATCATACTGGGCTGCTGCCATACTTGACCCTCGGCCACTAGGACTCTAGCTGAGGGCACACCAAGTCAGACATACTGATCTTCTATTTCTCGTGTTGCTCCCTCCTTGCAGGTCCTGTCCTGTGCCCACTCCTCCTGAGGAAGACAGTCTACTTGACATTACTGCTTGGATCAGCTATCATTGGATTTAAAGCTCCAGAATCTGCCTCCTCAATTCTGGCTGACAGATAGAAACCAGCTCTCCACTGAGCCAGGATGTATTTGGCTGGCTCCAAACCCAAAGCCCTTCTAGTTTCCCTGTGATCATCAGGGGCCTTGAATTGCCTCCCCTCTTTTCCAGTGTAGACCTCTTCATGAATCCTACCCTACATATGGCCCCACATTACCTGAGGATATAGAATAAATAAATAAAATCCTTTTTGATTTGTTTGTACACCTGCAACATTCCTTCTTGATTCAATGAGTGAAGATGCCCATTAGCTCAAATAAGAGCATTTCCTGATGTGTCCCAGGAGGTAGACATCCAAGAATTCTGTGCAGAGGATTACACTCCAGGCTGACTCTGTGTGGTATGGGATAGTTTAAAGCCCACACTCTAAGGATGGATCATATAGGATGAGCCTAATTAGAGTGGGGTAGGGTGGGATATAGTATGTATGGCCATATTTATCTTTCAAGATGTATACTCTTGATTATAAAGAGTGAGAGAGATTAGTTATAAACAACAAAGTCCTTTACTAAGCAAAAAAGTTAACAATTAAACAAGTAAGTGCTTTACTAAAAGAGTTGCTGACAAATTTGCTGTCTTTTTTGTTTTGCTTTTTTCTGTTTTGGAATTTTAATCAACGATTAATTGAACAAATATTTACACTGAGCTAATTGCTGGAAATGCATTGTTAATTAATACGGACATGGACTCTGCTAGTCATGGACCATAACGATCGAATAGGGGAACTATCATTGAACAAGCAGTTAGAAGTTCACTGGGCGTTACCATCTGCTTCCTGAAAGCACCTAAATAACCCAAGGCAGGTGCCAGTACAGATGGTTATTATCCATCTACAGGGAAGGAGGTTGCAGACATCTTAAATGACCCAGAACGATATCTCTGAATCAATAGAGTTGCAGATGTTCTGTCTATATAATAGCTGATATTCACACCTTAGTAGAAATGGACAATGGCTACATACTATTTTATGGATACAAATCAATAGGTCTTAAATTGTTTGAGGTGAAGGAATAAAGAAAGTTTATTGCGTCTCCTTTTAAAAGTCAGGAAACCTTAACATCAGCACCAACCATAGTACATGGCACATAGTAAATGACCACTAAATATTTGTAAAATAAATCAGTGGAAGAATTGAATCTGCTTTGTAGTCAGGCTTTAGACTGCTCATCCTTGCCACCTTTGCTACCATGTCCTTCTTCTGGGGTAAGCGAGGCCATGGGAGGACAGATGCATAAAACATTTGGAGGAGTCTCCATCTTCCCTCTTTCCTAGATGTTGTTCTCTTGCAGAAGAAGAAAAGAGAACTGCAGCACTGTGCCAGTTCTCGGCAACGTCCATGATAACAATGGCGACTGGGAAGAGGAGCAGATAGGTGCCCAGGGGAGCCTGCAGACGGCAGCCCATGCACCCACACACATCATCAAGATGGAGATCACAAGGACCACGCTACAGCAAACCTTCAGTTAATTTATTTTACCCTGACACCCATTATTACTACCCTTTTCTTGTTTAGCTCTTGTATCAATATGCTTGGCTAATTTTTTTTCTGCCCAGCTGCCAACCTTGGGCAGTTGAACATCTGGTATATCCCCAAGGGGCATTAGACCATTACGAAAGGCAAATTGATTTTTTTTTTAATTTCATAAATCAGCCGTCAAATGAAAAATGTCATTTTAAATTACAAACAAAACCGAGTTGAATACGTGACTGCTACTTGTGCACAATTGGAATTATTTATGACTGCTTAAAATTTGTGGGGGGAGGCCATTGTAGTTTTAATTATATGATACAAGGTGAGATTATTATTTACTGGTGCTGACATGAAATTGCCGATAATTACTTAATATCTGTTGGAAATTATTCAACAGTTTTTAATTAGTGATACATACTAAAGTAATTGTTATTTTCCAGCGAATATAAAAATCCACCTGTGAGAAAAGACACCTGGGAGTTACATTAGTAATTGTTCTAAAATGCACTATTGATTTATACACATTAGTAATTGTTCGAAAATGCACTATTGATTTATACACATTACCATTACCATACTTTGTGTATTACTCTTCAATATTTGACAGATTCTTGCCTTCATCAGCAAAAGAACATAAGAGTAAGTAACAACTCCCAGAGTGGGTCATCAGCTAGAGGAAAAGGCATATTTTTGCACGGGTCCCATTTGTCTCGTATTTCCTTTGATTCTATCCAGAATAAACAAATGTGTTGCCATAGTCAGACTCAAATGCTCTTTGTCTACCTAGTGTCTTCATTTGCATTATCAATTCCTAGAGGGCAGGAGCCAGGTCTTTTTTTAGGGCTTGCTGCATCATGCCCTCCCTTAGAGTCCAATCTAGAGCAAATGTTCTATTAAAAATGTGTGGATGGAGATGTGGAGCAGAGATAGCTGACAATCTGCCTTTCACCGTTTTATTGATGTTCTTTTAGTCACCCTTGAAAACCACAAGGAAAAAACAACAAAAAACATACCTCACTAGTTTCTAATAAATGATCTCAAGTCATTTACTTGCTGTAAAGATTACTCAGAAAAACCATTACTTACTAAACACATTAGTCAAAATCTTTTTTGTGCTAAAAAGCATTTAATTAGAATTACATTATTAGAGCCTTCTAAGTATTACTATTTCCTTTAGTCTTTAAACAATTAAGTGCTTTACTAAGAGAAAACAAAAGGAAGAAAGATATTTCTATTTAATCATTAGCTAAATGTTTTCAATGAATTGCTCAGGATCACTTTTGATTATTTGTAAGTGTAATAAATGCAACTCCTACACTGACTTGTTAATACCACTCTCTCTAGGAGGAAGGAAGGCAGGAGGCATCCTCCTGATAGATCAGGCAGTGCCGTCATTGGTGCATGACAGGGAACTGCTATTACTATGCTATCCTCCCCAGGGCCCTACCCTGTGCCGGCTCCAGCCTCTCACCTCACACATGTGCTGATGCCGAGGCCATCCCACATTCCTGATAAGCTTCTGTGTCTCTCGGCTCCAGCTGCACCCTCTCTATGCTGCTTTGTGACGTTGAGGCTGGGACTCTACACACCCCATTTCTTCTTTGTCAGCTGGTTTCCTGTTGGCTCCTCAGAAGGGGTCACTAAGAAGGGTGGAAGGCAGAAAAGGGGTCAGGCACTTGCCCCCTTGTGTTGGCCTGCAGTTCCTCTGGCATTTTCCCTGCAAAGACCCTTCGTGCTGGCAGCAGCCACTAGTTCCAGGGGTAGTGAGTTCTGCTTCCATCTTCCTTCCACACCTACCATTGAGTGTCATAGGAACCAGTAGCAGCAGCGATGCCCCTCCGCAGAGGCCCAGCTCCCAACTCTACATGACCCTCCTGCCTCCTGCATGCTCCTGAGACACCAGCACAGCCAGGCAGTGGCCTCTACTCCTGAGAGGGCTGGGCCCCACCTGTGCAGGGCCTCTTCCACAGGTACAAGTTCTAGCTTCTGACCACCTTAACCTCCTCCAAAACCTCCCAGCTGCAGGAGGGCTCTGCTATTTCATTTTGCCTTTCCAGTCCTTCAACCTCCTGTGGCCAGTTCCCTAGATTTTCCCTGGGAAAATAACTAGTGTGAGTTATGCTTCCCTGTTTGGCACTAAGAATTACACCTCTACACACACGCTGGCTGGCAGCTGATCGCCCCTGCACATGACTTCTTCAGTACGAAACGCCTTTTTCCCTTCCTCCCATCTGGAATATCCTATCCACTTCCATGCGGCAGCTCAGGCATCACTTACTCCAAGAAAGGGATCCCTCCACACTAGACAAGGCAGGCGGTCTCTATGGTTCAGGAGCACCCTGTGCATTCCATCACTCTGAGAGTTCTGTGCTCCCGCCCGTCCCCCACCCCCACCCCAGTCAACTGCTCCTGCAAGGCAGAACCACTACACTGCCACCACCTCGGGCAACGCCCAGCACAGAGAGAAAATGCCATAAATATCTGCTGTTTGCCCTGAACTTATGGGCACTGGCACTGTACTGGCCTAGATGGGAATTAGGCTCCTAGAAGGGTCTCCCATGCCTCTACGGGACCAGGGTTCTCACGGGGACTCCCATTATGCAGACGTCATGCCGTATCCTGACACAGCAGTGTCTGGCTATGAGACAGACTAATAAACATGAGCAATAAAGGGCAGCTTGGAGGCAACTAGGTATCATTTCCACAAGCTGCATATAAGCATTTGACTTTATACCAATAGTGTATTTAAGGACAGTCCTAAAATATCACTGTTCCCTTTTTAAGTGATGCTAAGTAAATAGCTCATAACAATAACATCTCCCACTTATTAAGCATATATTAGGAGCGTCTGGGCACTGCACACTCTCATTAAATCCTAGCAACAACCCTATAAGGAAGAAATAATCATCCTATTTTTCAAATGAAGAAGAGATATGAGAGGGCTAGGATTAGGCTGCTGTGAGTAAGCCTTCACCACTGGAGTGAAATTTAAGGGGGCGAGAAAAAACTCAGCCATTGAGATGCATACTTTAATACAATACTCTCAATGAAAAAGTCAAGAATAAATAAGATGTGGACATTTTAAATAAAGACCACATCACTATTGCTGTTTCCCCAGCCCCACCCCCCACCTTTGGCTACAGGGTCCAAGAAGGAGCATGGCTGAGCACTTCCGTAGCTTACCCAAGGCTGCCCCTCCAGTGAGGAGAGGCACCGACATGCAGGTTCAGGTTCCCCTAGCTCCAAAGTCTTAGTTACCCAACACTCCCTGCAGTGACAAGGGTGGCCATCATATTTTCTCTGTAGAGGCCATTACCTACAGCAGCTTTCCGCACTGGGCTTTTTCTTTAATGTAGCACAATCTAGGTAGGGGCTTCCAAAGTACATGAATGCTTTTCACATGGTATGTGGCGCTCATCATTGTTCTAAATTCTACACAAGCTATCTCTGCTTTTAGATGTCACGCATTCTAGGACACTGTGTCTTAAAAATGACTTCTAAAAGGTAAAGTTTTGCCTGTATACGCACTACTCATTCATTCATTCATTCAACACTCATCCAGCACTTATTTTGTGTCAGTCTATTGCCATTTTTTATTCAAGCACTTGTAGAACTCAGTGAATGAATAGGTAAAAAGTAGCAAGGAGTAAAATTCTTTCTTTCTTAGACTAACTCCCAAGGAACAAGGTAGTAAACTATGGGTGGGGAATAAAGGCAAACTTACACAGAAACT